TCTTTGTTTATCTGACAAAATGTACTTACTTTATATTTCCTCAATTCAATAATACACCGCCTACTTATTTCTCGGTTTGCCCAATGATTTGCCGGCCAAATGTACATAGAATTTTACTATGCGTTTAAATACATAAATATACTTACAGATTGGTCCTATAGAAATTTTATCGAAATCTGATCAGCAGTTTAATTTTTAAATTACAATATCTATTTTGTCAGTTTTGTGGGACATAATCTTTGGGGAAAAATCACTGTATTCCTATGCTAATGTTTGATATGGCTCGGCTAATTTGAATGAATTTTGTGAATTTATAATTGAAATATAAGATAATTTTCGATCTGATAAACCAGTGATGACTCTATCAAATGCTTTGAGCTAGACTAAAAGCCTAAAATTATGGTTAGTAGTTTCTTAAATATTATTTAAAATTCCTGTGAGAATTTTGGGAAATTTGTGCTTTATTTTTGTGATAACTGATTTTTAGCGGCTACTCTAGTTCATGTGACTATTTTGGGAATATAACATTGTCTGGTTCTCGAGCTAGCATCCTCTGTTCAATGAAAAACCACTCAGACACGAAACAATCTAGAAAAAAATCATTTCCTAAATTATTCTGACCGGAAATGGTACCCGGGACCTGATTACGTAAAGAAATGTGCCTACCGCTATGTCACTGAGGTCCGAAATCTTTTTTATTGATCATTGTAAATTTAAAATAATGTAAACACACACTATATGCCTAAATGGGTACTTTTTGCATTTCTGTATTTACTGATCAACGGTATGTCATACTGTAGGTAATTCTGTCACGTACACCGAAAGAATGCTTTTGTGTTTTACATAATAGACAAAACCCATCTTGTTTTCATTGTTTGTACTATTTGATCTATTTTTTGCGCGGTGAATGAAGTTTCGTGTTATACTTACAACTATTTGTTATTCTGTAATCTAACACGCAGTTGCGAAAATGGTAGTTTTTCCTTTAACGTTTGTTGTGTTAAGTAAATTTATTTTAACATAATATTGATTTGATATTGTAACTGTAAATTACAGTAGTCTAATCACATTCAATTTGATTTTTTGATCTAACGTAGCTTTCACTAATAAAGAATGAAGACAAATAATTTAAGATATGGTTAAAAAGCTACTTTAATTTTGGCATAATTAAGATATATACGCATTAATGATTGCAGAAAAATATCCATGGGTCAGAATTAGCGAATCTCACGCAGAACCTCCACTTTATTGAATTCCCTTAAATGTCATTCGACTAAGAACCTTCTGTTTTAATTATCATTATCATTTCCGCCATTATCCGTCTACTGCTTGACGTAGCCCTCGTCCTGTTTTTAATGCTGGTTAAAAATGGATAAGGCTTTTATAACATAAAAAATTAAACAACACCATTTTTTCTTCGTTCAACCTTCTACTTCTATCCATTAGATTTTTGTAGACACTATTTAGACTCGCAGTAAGACTTACAAGAATTCTTAACAGCTACCAACTGATTTCAGTTCAGGCGTTCTAACAATGAAAAGCTTGGTCTGAGCCGAGCGAATCGATTTGATTGACATTTTCGGTGTTTTTCGGTCGTCAACCCGAACTGTTACCAATTTTGTTTTCATATTGTACCATTTTGTTGCAAGTAACTGTCCACTCCAACTAACGGCTATGTGACTAGATTAGTCTTTTTATTCTATTGTTACTAACGTTTTTGTCTTAAAGCCTTAGATTTACCTAATTTAAATCACCGTTTTTATTAAAGGCACACAATGATCTGTTTACTGCGCTTTGTATTTACATATACTTACTTTCTTTCTGAATTTGTTTCCCATTCTCAAGATTGTAACTACGTTTGCTTTTTTTGTAATTTTATAGTTTTTTCTTTTATTTTGTTTCCGATAGATAATTAAAATTATCATCTTCGGAACTTTCACCGTCTAAACCACCCATGCCTTCCAATGTTACCTCTTGGACTTTTATTTATTCGCTACTTATGACTTTTCTACTTTATTTAAATCTATCACTATAAACTTTTCAAATACTTTATACCTTCTTAGATACTAGTTTATATTAATATTATTGGTAAAATAACAGAGCGTTAAAATATTACTGGTGAATCTACAATCAAAAACTACTGTCTATTTCAAAGTGACATTATTAGCCATAAGCCAATCGACCTGAAGGTCAACTAATAATCCAGAAACCTCAACTTGTTTGTTTTGCGTTCAGTGTAACTAATATGACGCGGAATAATTGGTTACCTTTAGCTTTAATCGTGATCCGAGTATCAATTTCTGAATCGTTTGTTTGATTTGTCTTCAATTTATGATTTATCATTTTTTGTAAATAACTTGACATTCTGGAATAATGATTATTACTAAAAAAATTATCTTAATCTCCCTTTTGTGCTACCAAATATATTTGTAATTAGCTGCTACACACAAAGTTATTTACTTCTTTCTTTATTGCTCATGAAAAATTTTAAACCATTATGATAAATTGAGTCATAATTACAAAGTTATTGCGATGCTTAGAAATAAGTACCTTTACTTCTTTATATGTCTTATCATAGTTATTACAACTAATCCGAATATAATTTTGATCAGTGACGTAGAAATCATCATGATTGATGTGACTATCACCTGATTTGAGTTTGATTACTGTTTACTAGGCACTGTTAACTGTGATTTATTAGGCATTAATTTGCTTTATCACACGTTTTTCTGTAGTATTTTCATCTTGATACTTTTTATGCAACTCAGAAAGCTAAACAAGCTAACATTTTACCTGTGTTAGTGGTAGCATCCTTATACATTGCCATTTCTAAGGGCTAAGTTGCTATATCTTTGATACTTGTGATGTCACTGCATTATCCCAAACTTCAAACTAAAACATATCATGCAAGCATAACTATGCGATGCTCGAATTTTTGTCCCAAAACATTGGGCTAAGATACTCATTGAGAGTTTTTTTTTACAAAATCTTCCTCTGGTTACCTATGCTTAGGTACAGATGGTTGCATTGTAATATCTTGTATTATTTTAAATTCATTAATTAGATTCATTGTTTTTCTACACATTTTTTCTTATTAGAGTCTACTCTTTTATTTATTCTTTTTTTATGTAATACTTAATTAATATTTTTCTTTATAGTACTAATATAGGAGACAATATTTATGCTAACCCATATATTACTAAGTACTCATTTCCTCATAGTTTCAGACTATTAGTATTTCTGGATGTCAGCCAGACAGCAATGCGTTGACCTGCACATTTATTTATAACATTAAAACAGGTTGTCTTATAAAGAACAGTATACTACTAAGTGTATTACTTAAAATTAAAAGTAGGTTATATTTGTTTAATCGAAATATACTGGTACATATGTCATTTCTGAATCTAAAAACATCTTACGTTATTACAGTTATGACTGGGATACAATACAAGTTATAATACAACCTTGCTGTTCACTTAAAATTATACACCTAGCATTTTTTTTTATTGTAGATAGATAAATAGGTAGATATATAATTTATTTGAATTATTACATGAAACAAATAAGAATAGAGATGCTCAATAAAAAGAGATAAATTAATGCATATACAAAAAGAAAAGAAGCAAAATATATGAAACAAGTAATAATGTTTTCTTTGATGCGTGCGCCGTAGTAACATAAAATGGTTATAACACAGTTTATTGTTTTGCCCTCAAAAGAGCAAAACATTGATATTCTGTTGTAGCCAAATGTATTATTAGTGTAAATTATATTGTCAATCTCTTAATTTTTTTTTGTTTTGGAAAAAGAAAATAGCAACTTAATTTGTGATACAATTACAAGTAAACTTTATTAATTGCAAACAATCCATTGGGAAATGGAGTAGATATCGCGTAACATACAAATAATACAAACTAACTAAAGAAGGAGGGGTCTTTTAATGTTGATTAAAACGTACTGAATCATCGTATCACATAATTTCACTTGACGCCTCTTACAACTCTATTCCCATTGTTTTTATTGCTACCTGTAACACTTTTTACACATTTAATAACTAACTGCAGTCTACAATTTCATACCTCCTAAATCTTTGGAACTTAAACTTTATTTATTACGACGTCTACACCGCCATCTCGGATAGCATCTGTAACATGTTATTACCTATTGTTAGTGATAACTTAATTGGATTTTTTCACAGCGGCGGCAGATTCGATACTATCGGAGTAATAGAGAAATAAGTCATGACGGTTCATTATAACATAATAATACTTAACATGTTTCTGAGACATGTTTCTTTATTACTCATTAGCTCTTTATGAAGCATATTTGGCAATATGGGCTTTCATTGTATTTTTATATTAGATTTCGAAACAAAAAGTTTGAAAGAAGTATTAGGAAATGTCTTTTGGACATAAATGTTATCAGCGGATTTTTACCCTTCTGGATCACCAACAAACATTTGAAACTTTTACAAATGCGTTTGTGGCGTGTGTCCATAGACTATAGGCATAACCGAGTTGGTAATATTAAAAACGTTGAACAAAGACCTGAACCTAAGTAAATATGAAATCTGTACTTAAACCTTATATAATACTTTAAAAGGGCGTAACAGTTCATTTGATTGATTATAATAATTTGTAAGCGTTTCTATGCATAACATCAATTTTAAAATATGTTGCTTTTGCATTCTGTTTGAAGTCACCAGTTATAAAACTTTATTTTTTTATTGTATAACTTAAAATGGCAAACAAGCTGGCGGACCACTAATGGAAAGTGATAAATGTCATCTTCAGACACTAGTCCTGTTACTATTTGATCTCGCCTTAATTTCTTTTATCTTCCTGATAAAGAAAGAAAGGATCGAGGATAAAGGAGAGAGACTTTAAGAGTGAGTAAAGGAAGTTGGTAGAAAAAGAGTTAAGGATTTATAGAGCAAAAATATTTCAACCTATTTAGATGGAGTAAATTTTTCTCTAAATATAATCTTTTATTGTTTGCAGATATCAGACATAGTGGTGGGACAGGAACCGAACGTCACCGCTCGGGAGGCATTACTGAGCTGGGCTCGGCGGTCTACTGCCAAATACCCAGGTGTGAGGGTGACCGACTTCACATCGTCATGGCGCGACGGGCTGGCATTCAATGCGCTTATACACAGGAACCGTCCTGACCTGATAGACTGGCGTAATATCAGGTAAGAATATACGTCTATTTAAATTACTATTTTGTATTATTAGCTTTAATAGGCAAATATTTGATACATTGAGTTACGTTATTGTAATTTGCGTATAATTCTCTATTTTTTTTTTAATAATAATATAGTCTATGTTACTCGCTGAGCATGTAGCTTTCAAAGCTTAAAAGAATTTTTAAAATCGGTTGAGTAGCTTTTGAGTTTATCCACTGGAAATAAAGAAACATGCAAAAAATCAAAACTTTTCTCTTTATTACAATTAGTACAAGTATAATTGATTTTATTGGAGTTGTGAAAATCCTTGCTGATAATGTAAATCTTGTTTTATTGTTAGCAATATATCCTGTTATGTCCTATACTGCACTTAATGTACCTATTTTCCTGTATTTCTTTACCCATCATATCTTCACTATAACGTATGCTTTCATCGCCTTAAAAAGATAATAAAGAATAGACAACTTCCAACAGCACTATTTCCGAACCGATACGAAATTGTAACATTCAAGAAAAGAACACATTCCTTTTTAAAAGGCTGGTAGTACGGCTGCAGTTCCTGTCATGTGGCGTTTTAACATGTTCGTAAAACACTTTGTCTGAATGTTCCCAAATTCAGAATACGAGAAGATTCAGATTTTGATCTGTGTTATGGGAAACTTGGCAACGAACATTTGAATTTTATTTGCTTTATACCTAAAAATTGGTGCTCTAATATCTAATTTATTGTTTTAGGTCAAGACAAGTGCGTGAGCGCTTGGAGACAGCATTCCACGTGGTCGAAAAAGAATATGGCGTCACCAGGCTGTTGGACCCCGAAGGTAAGCCACTTCTATACAATCGTCACGGCAGGTACTATAGGAGTATTATTTCAAATTCGTAATGTGGTTCCAGCATATAAGAAGCCTTCCTTTCACGTGAACTTAATAGTCAAGGGATGAGCAGAAGCGTTCTTCTTAAAACATCTCCAAAGCCTAACTGCGGTTGCTAACCGGCCTGTTAAACGTGGCGACTACTGGCAAACCCCTCAAATACAGAGGGAAGCCTATATTCAACAGTGCACAATTAACAGCTAATATGGATTGTTTTAAATATAAATCTTTAAAAAACAGTGGCATTTAATTCTTTTGCAGTGTATGTTGTAAGTCGATACCGTCTGAATCTATTTTGTTATTCTTTTCGATAGAATACACTCCCGTGTTGGTCCTGCATTCATCATTATTGTTCATTCATGTCATAATAGACATAGTTGTTTTTTTGCGTAGCTAAATTATAAAGTTAATCAAATATACACGAATCAAGCCACGGAAACGTTTCATGTGAGAGCGGCCACTAGTGTCAAAATTTTTTAAGCCAACTTCATTATGTATGATAAACATGTTTATGCAACATATCTAATGTGTTGACAGTCTTATACGCTTTTAAGCTCTCTGAAAATGTATTCACAATTACTATCTAATAGATGTATTGAGTTATTGACATTGTTTTTTCGAACGAAGTCATAGATTAATGACTATAATCAGAGGTGTAATTATTAACATCGTATCTGTCAATTATGTCAGTGCTGTCAAGACTTCATCTTTGACATTGAATGGTGTGATCAGTCGTGAGAAATAAAAGCATTCACCATGAATATTGTATAGCGTTCAGGTTATTTTGAGCTCATTATATTACTAGTTTTTACCCGCAACTTTGTCTACGTGATCAGGATATATTGACTGAACCGGATATGTCCTGACTAGTAGGCTATGTCCTTCATCATACCAAATATTACATGTATCGTGATTGAATCTTTACTGGACAACTTTGTTTCGATAGAACGTTTTTTGAAAGAAAACTGCTATTTTTTTAAGAATTTAAAAAGTAGTTTGTAATATTAGAAATTGTTATTATTAGAAGAATCCAGTAATTGGAAGTTACCTATAATCAACTAAAAGAAAAAAGAAATAATTATCTATGCAATGTTCCCGGGAACATTATGTCTTAACAGACCATCGATAATAGAAAAATTACTATCAAATAATTATTACTCAACAGGACCTGCTGTGAGCAGGTTCATACATTTTACGAGCCATTGTTAACGCTTCGTTTGGCACCGGCCGCTTAGGGAGTGACGTCACTACGATTATAATAAGTACTGTATGGACTATTGTTATTTGATCGAGATGTGTGTACGAATATTCTAAAAAGATCATCATCATCATCACCATTACGGTCATCTGCTTTCCAACTGTTAATTATTCACTGGTGAACATTGGTGTCTATCATAAACAGCTATAAGTAGATAATTTTTAGAAGCAGACTTTAAGCACGAGTCGTTTGCTTAAGTATCTCTGTCCACCTCATGGTTCTGTTATCGAGCAGCTATGCTTTCGTAACTGTGTATCGATTTGAAAGGTGTGAAAGGTAAATATGGTAGTTAGAATACAGTGTACGACTGCATTACATCTAAGTCCTCAAGGATGACAACGCATGAGGGCTAGCATGGGCATCATAATCATCTTCCTTTAAAATGCGTACAGACAAGGACTGGTACTCTCTCCCTTTTTATGTTATTCATCGAAATATAATCTGCACCAATTTAAGGCAAATGTGAATAAGCTATTCGTGGGCCCGCGAGCCCATCTTAGATCATATCATCGCTTTTCATCATGTGAGATCGTGGATCAATCGCGGAATCCTTTAATAGTAAAAAAATCACAATGTTTATAAGCGACCGCTGAATATAAATAAACATTTGATGACGATATGCCAATACCTGTTATATTAGTCTGTATGTATTTATTTAAAAAAAAAAAACCTGTGAATTGTTTATTTCTCATAGTACAAACTCTACGCAGTTTGGGCCTAGATTCTTTTCTCAATTTTGTATTGCTTTTAGCCACGACATATACTAGTGTTAATAATATCAGTGTTTTGCTATTTTGAGGACAAAACAATAAATTAAACTGTGACCATTTTTTTGTTGCTATGGCACTTGCGCGAAAGGAAAATTATTTTACTTTTTTATGTATTTTCCTTTTTGTGTATATATTCTTTTATCTCTTTTTTGTGTATATGTATGTTGTTATTTCTGTGCTGTAAGTAATTCAAATAAATTATATATCTTTCTATCTATATATCTAGATGGGAAATATATCCAGTAGTATTTATTAATTTACTCTGTTATAATTCTAGAAACCACAAAAATTATATTTAATATTCTTAAAAGCGTTGAACCGTACTGGCGACTAAATCTTGCTACATGTTTAAAATGTCTGCTAAAAAAATTAAACACGGTAGTGTGCCTAGCGTGGATAATAACAGTTTTGATAAAGCAACCTCTACACTTTCCGTTTGAAATGAAATAACATATCACATCTTTAACGTAAATGATAGGGTATAAGAAGGGTTGATTAGGTAGAAAACAAAATATTTTATATATTTAATTCTGGCTAAACTCTGTACATTTTGGCTCCCAGAAAAAGAAAAAAGAAGTCGCGATAGACCTCGCAATGTAGAGACGTTTTCGACCGATCCGTACCATATACCACCATCATTCTTTATGGTCAATCTCGATCAGACCATAGCGACTAGTACAGCTTGACCAATGATCGTGCGTGATTGAAACAGTTGAGGGAGACATTTGCTCAACAAGACATCATAGGCTATAATTGATTGATTTCTGACTGTTACATATTATAACAATATTGGCTCATATTTACCTTAGGCACTAGCATACTTTTCTACTATTATAACTGTAAAAGGTAATTTGTTTGCTTCTTCTTGACCTCTCAACTCAACAATCGTCGTGAAAGGCATACACTTAGTATTTAGTATGGAGAAAGACATAGGTCAGTATTTATCTCATTTAAATAGACGTCGCGAGCACAGCTATTATTAAATAATAATAATTCAGTCCAACAGTGACGATATTGTCGACGGTAGTCTGGAATAGTAGCACCAATACACCACTTCTTTTGGCGGTTTTCTCTCCATGAAAGTGGGCATCTTGTTAATTGAATTTGTTTGTAAGAACTTAAGTTTCGGGACACAGCTTTACCGTAACAATCCATCTAAAAGCAAAAACAAGTAAATTTTCCTTTGCAAAAAACTGTTTTTGCTCCGCAAACATGTGTGTCTTCTTCATCATCATTTGCTACCTTTATCCCAATTACGAAGATTTATTTGGGTTCGGCGTAATATGTTTTTCTGTTACATTCTCTATTCGCAGTCAGTTCAGCATTTAATTCATTTTTTGCCATATCATCTTTCACACATTCTATGTCTTTTAGGTCTTCCTCTGTACTTATAGCTATCCATATTCATTATCAATATTTTTCTTAATACGTACTCCACATTCCTGCCCATCACCTATCTAAACCAGGACAGATGGTTACTTTTTTATCACTGACGCTTCATTCATATTTCTTTTGATATACTCGTATAAATATGGCACCTTCTATCATCACAAAATTAATCGATCGTAAATCTTTTCAATCGATTTCCAAATTTATTCATAATTGGCGATGTTATTACGTAACATAGCTATGTTACGCAGTTACTAATAGTTTGTATTAGGATTGTTTTAATAATTTATTGCTACAAAAAATATCATCATCATCATATCAGCTGTTTATTGTCCTAAACATAGGCCTTCTCGTAAGGTTAATTTTGCCAGTAGTTCCACGCTTGACAGGCTTTGATGATGTTTTAAGAAGTATGCTGCTGCCCATCCTCTGACTATTAAGTTCCCTTAGTCGCCTACTACACTCACGTGAAAAGAAAGAAAGGGGTGGCCTATTCTATGCCGGAATCATACGGCACCAAAAAATATAGACAAGTCCTCTTTCTTTTGACAATTGTTTAAAAATATAAACAATGTGTACACGCCACAAGATTTGCGATTTTGCGATAAGCGAGACATGGCGACGCGACGTGATTACTGTAATTCGCCTGTCAGTGCCACTGTCTTGAGTGCAATAAACGTAGTGACCTTAAATTTTAGTCTTTCCCTGACTTTAATCTTTAAACGGTAGAAAAATATCTCTAAGACACTCTGTAGTTCCATATAAAGTAATCGTTTAAAATAACTTCAAGGTTTCAAGCGGAATTTGAGATATATGCGTGTCCTTATTAGAAAAACCAATTTGTTATTCAACTTTGCAATTTACTTTAGTAAAGAAATTATACGACATGTACGTAAATGTTTTAGTTTAATTTGTCTTTGTTTTTCTAGTTATTTGTTTATCGCATTGCACCATCAATTATATTTTCTGTTATTATCTATGGTTGATTGGTAGATAACGCCATGTGGTGTTAAGTCCGCCATTTACAATATCTAGATGTATTAAAGTTTAGTAAACAAATAAATAAATCTGTCGCCTTGTAAACCACACCAAGAGTCTTATGGGCATATAACTGAAATGGTTTAAAATCCTTGATATCAAAGGGCGCTGTCCTTATATTTTTTTCTTTAGAATACATCAACATCTCTTCAATTTAATTAATTAAACTTTATTTGGACGGAAGCTTTCGTGAGTCATATATTAGCATTATACATAATGTTTACCTATTAGTTCCGCCTGTTGCATTCATCATGCTTTGCCATTCTTGAGAAGTAAAATTCTCTTGGTGTTCAAATCGAATCACATCAACTCGTGTGTTGTTTTCACGGTATTATTTACACAGACAATTATTATAATCGTTTATAATTACTTCAACTTATCTCTTATCCACTAGAAAATCTACATCTGTCATAATTCGCCTTTGCATATGGATCTATATTGTATCCATCAACTCCCGACAATACTTGCTATGCGAGCATGGAAAACACACTTATGGTATGCGTTGCTGTACCTAAGAGCTGAAATATGATGTCATTATGCTTCCGTACCTTATAACTTCACTGCCACCTTTCAAACCAAAACACAGTTAATTTTTTTTCCTTCTGAACGTATTTCGTACTTTATGGCTCCTAACATTCTCATCTCTGACGTTACCGTTTCTGACCTTATGGCTTTTGACCATAAGGTTACATTGCCTGATTTTACAGTTTCTAACCTTACGTCGTCTGACCTTCCGATTTCTCAACTTCCTCCCTGAGTGGAACTGCTAATAATAATTTAGGTGAATAATAACTCCTTATATTCCAGATGTGGACACCCACGAACCCGACGAGAAGTCTCTCATCACGTACATCTCGTCGCTGTACGAGACGTTCCCTGAGCCGCCGGCGGTGCACCCGCTCTTCGACGCCGAGTCACAACGCCGGGCCGCCGCGTACACCGAGCAGGCGGCGCAGCACCGCGCGTGGCTGCACGAGAAATGCGCACTTATGCAGGTGAGGCTGTTACTGTTATTATAATTTTTCTTCTTTTTTTGTTTTTTTTTTTTGTTCTTTTGCAAAGGAATGTTATTTTTTTATCGATTATTAGAATTGTAACCAAACTGGTCTATTGGAATAAAATGTCGGGGTATCAGCGAGAGGTTGTTTTTTTAACGGGCGATAATGGAATTATAATCTCGCCTGCGCTATCGGTATGCACTAGCAGGGCACCAGTGAGAGATGACAGATGAGAATGAAAGCAAGTCAGGTAGCCCATCGTGATGAATTCTAAAATAATTATTTTTAATGAATAAATAATAAATAATTAACCACGATGGTTACCAGGGGAACTGTGTGGAAATCGACCTAATATGGTATATTGCTAGCAATAGAACTGTTAGATCCCCATTACTAACAATTCTTTCTCCACATCAGTGAAGGGTGACATGGGTAAGTGTGGATAATGTCAGTTCTTTTCGCATTCACTAAGAATTACCAACGATGGTTTCGAGGGAGACCGTGTGACAGGTCGACAACCTGACATATATGAGTGTTGCTAGCAATTGGACCACTGGTCTACATTACTGACAATCCATCCGCCTTTAATGATCTTTCCTATGGAAACGCTATTAATGTCATACAGGAAAAGACAAACGCATTAGCCATATAATCTCTGCAATTGTCCTAGTACTGAAATCGAATTAAAACTCATATAAATAAATAAATAATAAAGTAAAAACAGCGCGCTGTTTTTACTGTATAAAACTCGAATAAAATAAATCACTACATATTCGTATACTTATTCAATATCTTTGCTATAAAATGAGTTGATTGACATAGGCCTGATAGATTTGGGTATCTTGTTTACGCTCTATTATGGCAAAAGTATTTGCTGATAAACTGAGCCAGGGTTAGCAGATGGGACAATTGTTTGTTTAGTATAATAACGAAAGTTCTTACCGGACTGGATATCATATGGAACAGACTTTAATAGCAATATTGTTATAATGTAATACCTCTTGACTCTAAAGACTTTGTACAAAAATTTTATCGTTTGCTTGGGCACCTCTGCTCCATTCGTGTTTATATCGTGAAGCAGTTGTGTTTGCATAGCTGTGTTTCGGTCTGAAGGGTGCGATATGGCAGTGAATTGACAGGGTACAGAGGAATAACATCTGAGTCCTCAGAAATGACAACGCATGGGGGGTATCATGGGCGAAACAGTGTACTCTGTTATGTTCATGGTATTGCTCATGTCTATAGGCGATGGTTACCACTTTTCATCAGGTGGGCCGTCAGCTTGTTCGCCATTCTAAGTAAAAAAACCTTAATTTAATGTTCCAGGACCGTGCTTTCCCATCAACTTTGATCGAGATGAAAAAGCTGCTCAGCGAGAGCACGCGTTTCCGCAACGAAGAAGTGCCTCTGCGCCAGCGGGAGAAGCAGAAGCTCTTCCATCAATACAGGGAATTAGAAGTAAGTCATACAACACCTTCATCATAAGTTTCTCCACCGAAAGTTAATTCTTTATATGTTTTGACAATCATGTTTTGTGTTATTTACTAAATTTAAACGCTGTCACATTTTCTTTTTTGGATAGTAAGTTATCTTATTTCAATTTATACAATAGTTTACATATTTTACATAATTCTATTTCGTATTTACAATTATGTAGCACGTAACATGAAATAAATGTCGTAAAAACCAGAAAATACTTTTATCCCACATTATCCTCTGTTATGTCCATAATACTGCTCATGTTTATAGGCTACGTTTACCACTTTCTAGCTTGTTTGCCATTCTAAATTGCATAAAAAAAATACCAATAAACTTCATAATAAATTAGTCTTCTACTATTATTCTGGTAATTCTTTTATGTTTCTTGATTATTTGAGATACTTTACAATAATAGGGCCCAAAATTAATCCTTTTTTTTTGAAAAAAAAAAGTTCCCTATTCATATACAGTGGTCTTTTTAAATAATTAGGCTTTTAAAATATTTTTATTTATGCATAATGTTCGCAATTTGCAGAAATATTTCGAATCTGTGGGCGAGTGTGATATCGAGCCCGCGTTACGACCGGACGCCCTGGAACACTCGTGGTCAAGGTTAATGATGGCGCACCAAGAACGCGAGCGCGACCTCAGCGATGAGATCCGCCGCCTGGAGCGGCTGCAGCGGCTGGCTGAGAAACTACATAGGTTAGTTGTCTTGGCACATTATTGTAACATAAGTACTGAACACAACACGTGCTAGTTATTTTTTAATGCATGATAATGGAATAGTAGGTACTGCGCTATGGTATACACTAGCGAGGCACCAGTGATGAATAATGGGTGAGAATGAAAAGGCATGCCAGTTAGCCCATCGTGATGTATACACCTGGAATTCAACGGAATGATGGTTTCCAGAGAAGACCACGTTGAGGTCGACCTGACACGATATATTGTTAGCAATGAGACTGATAGTCCGCATTACTAACAACCCCTTCCCCCCACCCGTGCTAATAGTAATTATGTCGTTGAATTATGTACATGAATATCATACTACACTGTACACAAGGCCGTGTGGCCCCGGCATAGAATAGGCCACCACTTCCTTTCCCGTGTCGTAAAAGGCGACTAAGAGGATTTAATGGTAAAGGGATAGGCAGCAACGTTCCTCTTAAAACATCTCTAAAACTTAACTACGGTTGCCAATCCGCCTGCCAAGCGTGGCAACTACTGGCAAAACCCTCCAAGGGACTTCAGCAGTGGACAAATAAAGTCTGATATGTTGATGATGATCAAATTATGCTTAAAATAAATCTTGTTTTCTACAGAGACATAAAACAAACTGAGGGAGGTCTCGACAACGTCGAGCGACACATTGAAAGCGAGATACGACGGGTGGAGCGCGGTGTACACCCAGCCGAGGCCAAGATGGCCGCCGAACAAATTGAACAGGACTTGCTCGCCATGGAGCACACCATACAAGAGATGTTCCAGGACTCGCACGCCCTAAGAGAGGGCCGTTACCCACAAGCCAACGAATTACACAGGCGGTGAGTTTTATTTTTTACTCTATAAGGTTCAAAATAAATTGCTTTTAACGGTATTAATCTATCCGTCTCTATTTGATTATAGACAAATCCTTGCTATTGCTAGAATCTAGTTTGGAACAATATTGGTTTATAATGTAATAAAATAAAATCTTTCTTTACACACACACACATTCTTGCTAGAGTGCTGTACTGGTACTCTGTGTGTATTCTAGCTAGCTAGCATCTCTGAGTGAAAGCAACTCCACACTTATAACGAAATATGGTTCCATCAATACCATTTTAACCTTTCTTTTAATACTTCTGAACATAGACCATAGATTATATAGAACTGAGTATCCATGTCTGTTTATTTTTTATTATATCGAAACCACCTAAGCCAGTTCTTTGACCTATAGGGCCAATCCATTACCAATTTAGCTTTAAAACCCTTAGGACTTTATCGCTTTCTAACTTTACAATTATAGTGGGGGTATGGATATATATTTATTCTTTATTGCACAGTAAAACTTTGGACAAATGTCGAGCTTAATGCCATGTAGCATTCTCTGTCAAAATTATTAAGTAAAAATGTACATGGATATAGAGATATTCCAGAGAAAGATTTTACAGAAGGTATATCTGTATATGCAAAGGGTACTTCTGTCTTGCTATTACCTCATATTTCAAAGGCCTATTTATCGTCTATGAGTTGATATTATGCCAGTAAAATTATTACCAAGATATACGAAGGTGTAATATTCCAGCCTTCATTAAATGACATTGCAAGAGTTTTTTTTTTTAATAGGCGAAAATGAAACGGTAATTTTGACTGTACTATCGGTGTACGCTGGCAAAGTATTATACCGGTGAGGGTTGATAGGTGAGAATACAAGCAGATCAGTTGACCCATCGTCACAAATTCGACTAGAACCACGATGGTTTCCAGGGGAACCGCATGGAAGTCGACCTGATAGGGTATTTTGCTAGCCGTTATTACAACCCCATTCTCACGCAATGCATGAAACTTATCATGGGTGATACTCTCCATTCTATGATGTCTTTACTGCTGTAATGGCTGTATCTGTAAGGGCTGGTTGTCACTTTCGAGCGATCTGTCAGTTTGTTCATTCCAAATTGTTTACTTATGTTCACAGAGTGCAGCAAGTTCACGACCGTTGGCTAAACGCTCGTCAAGCGTTCACCGGGCGCCTGGTGCCGCGGCTATCGTCCGTCCGTATGCCGGTGCAGCAGACCACCGTGCGCCGCGAGACCAGGACCGTCCTGGAGACCAGGGTCCACGATGCCGACCCCAAGTTCCAGCAGTTGCAGGAGGCGACCAGGTGGTGTAAAGAGAAATTGGTGAGTGTGCTGAATACAGTGTACTTCTATTGTTATTTTCTAAGTATAATGTAATGTACATATACTGTATAGACGATATATTTTTTGATCAACTTCAGAAAAAGAGGTTTTCAATTCGATTGTACTTTTTTATGTTTGTCACCTCATAACTCCATCAGTTGTGAACTGATTTGGATTTTTTTTAACAGAAAAATATACTTACAGATTGGTTCCATAGAAATATCATAGCTGGTTTTGTCACAAACAAAATCTGTTTTGTTTTTTTGTGAGACACAATCTTGAATGATTACTCACTTAAAAAAAAAGATATTTATATGTTAAGTAGGGACGAATCAATTTTATTCGTATAACGTTTCTTTAAAATTATGAAAACAGACTTTTTATATTGCAAATCGTGCGTTCGTTAGCCACAATCCCATATTTCAACTATTTATGGTATCAGTTTGAAATTTGGAATAGTTTTAAATATTATTGATGCGCCCTTAACGCGGATCAGTAATTGAAAAGTGAACTATTCTCTTGCCTAGTTCCAAAAGGGGTGTTCGAAATCACAGCATCTTAGAAAGATAGATAGATAGATACTCTTTATTGTTTCCTTCAAAAGATTACAATAGTTAACTTATAAATATAAACAATTACAAGAAATAATCACAAGTGTAAAAGAACTCTTACACTGTACAATCCTCCTAATTCGGGGAGAAAGGGATTGTTAGTAATGGGGACTACCAGCTCCATTGCTAGCAATGTACCTAGTCCGATCACTCACCCCGCGGTCTTCCCTGGAAACCGTCCTACTGAATAACAAGGGTTATTCATCACGATGGGCTAACTGATCTGCCTTTTCATCTTCACCTATCGTCCCTCACTAGTATAACTTTAGCGCAAGAGCGGTTACTATTCCATTATCATTCATTAAAAAAAAAACCCCAATTCTATTTGTGTAGATTTAAGAGGCAGTAAATTGACATAAGCATGAGATTTTACGACGGAGGTCATTTCATTATATTCATTTTATACACACCGTAAATAATTTTGTGTAATGTGAGGGTAAATAATAGGGTAAATAATAGGGTAAATAATAGGGTAAATAATAGGGTAAATAATATAACTTCTTGCTTTTTTTCCTCAGAAAAAGCTACACGAATCCGAATACGGGTCCGATCTTCCGTCGGTACAACACGAACTGGACAAGCACCAGAGAGAACACAAGCAAATAGATCAGTTCCATTCAAAGGTTTGTACTTCTTTCTCGTAATTCTATATATAGGGGCGAATCGAAATCGTTAGCCATACGTGAAACTAGGAATCTACCCTTACTATACGCGTTATAGGACAGAAATGTCTTGAAACAAATGCTCAAAAACGGGAAAGGAATAATATTTTAGTTGTGATGATGAGATATGCTATGTTATGTCTTTTCTCGAACTGTGTTTCTTCAGTGAAATTAAATTAAAAAAATTAAATTTCCTTGATAGAACACTGCCTTAAAAAGAATAACCACAATTCATTATTACACTATAATACAATATTTTTTTGTGTACAAAATTTATTTGAAAATAAATATGTATGTATTTTAGTTAACATGTAATAAAAGCTCCATTTAAAAAATAATAATAATAAGGTAGTTTGCAATTAGGTAGTATTTTTTTTTATGTTTGTTACCTCAAAATTCTGTCAGTTGTAAAACGATTTGGGAATTTATTTTACTAAAAAAATATACTTACAGATTAGGCCTTTAGAAATTTTATCATCAAAATCGGTTCAGTACCTAAATAAAAAATTTTTTTTGATGGCCACAATCTTATGTATGTAATACAAGTCTTATAATAATATTTTTTTATTTATTTGTAAATCTAGGAGGTTTAGTTAGGTATAGTTTTTATAAACAAATATAAAACTATATTTTTAGCGGTACTTCTAACATTTCGGCGGACACGAAAAATAAATAAAGCTTTCCGGTCAAATAAGTTTTTGTTTGTTTCAGTATTTATATTATCACATATTTGCTTCGTATATATTTAAACAATGCAATATTAATATATAGTTTTTATCTTTTTATTCAATGTAAATATCGAAATAAATAATATACGATATTTATTTATTATGTTATGCTTTGACCGAAATAAAAAAATCGGTTAAATCTCGGTTTTCAGAGATTATATTGATATTGAAATAATCACGAAAAATTACTTAAAAAAATACATGTCTTAGTTATCTTTAAAAATGGCTGAGATATTTACAAATAAAAATCTATTTTTTTTTTTACTGGATATGTTCATCGGAGACCAAGCGGCCACGTATTGTGTTGACTTCACGTCATTCGTTTGAAGGTGTTTATACTACCGTACAATTGTAATAATAAAGTTCATATTCCTATGTACAGGTGGAACAGTGCGTGCACAACCGCGCTAACTTCACTGGCGAGGAGTTGAACCTCTACAACCAGCACTTGAGTCAGCTGCAAAAGCTGTATGCTGAATTGCTCTCTACCAGCACTAAACGGTATGTTTAAACATCTTATATATATATATATATATATATATATATATATATATATATATATATATATTATGATATGCATATTTTCTAACAAAATTATTATTATTATTAAACCCCTGGTATTGCGCAGGCGTTTATAGGGTACGGTAACCGCTTTTCATCGGGTGGGCCGTATGGATTGTTTACCACCCTGAGTGGTATAAAAAATATAATATTTCTATTTTTATATAATTTATTATAATAATATTTTTTATGTTATTCATGTAATATTTTCAACTAATTACGTTCTTAATTGATAAATAAGAATTGAAATCTATTATTATCCATTGATTGCACAAAGACTTTTTGTGAAGAAGTGCAAGCGTTTTTTTTTTTTAATAATATGAATAATTAATCTAAAAGTCCATATAGTAAGATGTTAATTAAATTCCGACCAATAGATTTATGATACTTGTCATAAACAGTATCTTAAAATGTTTAAATCATCAATTTGGTACCATTTAAAAAAAATATATCGTTATTTTCACACCAAATTTTTGTTTTGCTCGACTTCTACATTTCAAACATATTTTCAAGGTTCGAAGTTAAAGTATAAAACTAGTGACACAGTACTTGATCACCATTTATATCAATATATTCATAGTGACCAAAATCGAAAAAGGAATGTTGCGTTGGTTTGGTCATTTGGAGAGGATGGATGAAAGAAGAATTACGAAAGAGATTTATCGAGCAAGAATGAATGGAGATGTCGGTAGGGGCCGCCCTAGACGGACGTATGTCGATCAAATAGGCGACGTGCTGAAGAAGGGCCAAATTAAAAGTACCCGTAACCGACGAGCGTGTATGACAAGATTGATGAATGTGGAAGAAGCGAAAGAGGTTTGTTTGAATCGAAGCATTTGGCGTTCCATTGTTTCTGCCTACCCTAATGGGAGACAGGCGTGACAGATATGTATGTATGTATGTATGTATGTTCATAGTAATGATAATTACTAAAGCACCATAATACTTGTCTAGCCCATTTACTCACTTACTAGTTAATATTTAAGTTATTATAGGATACATAAGAGATACAAATAGAGAGCAAAAGAGAAAGCTGAAATCGAGAGATAACTACATGGGACAGAAACAAAAGAAGGAAACACTAGGTGTCACGTCGTATAGGGAGCTCAAAGATATGGCCTGGAATAGAGCTGGCTGGAAAGCTGAATGATATTATTACTTGCACCGACAAGAGAGAACTCTTAAAAAAAGATACATAAATTATATGTATAAATATATGTATATGTATGTATAAATATATGTATACTTATATGTATAAAGCTAAATCAAGTTCCTATTTCCGCAGCATGTCAGATCTAGACGCGCTACAGGACTTCCTACAATCCGCGACCGCTGAATTGAACTGGCTGAACGAGAAGGAACAAGTGGAATTGTCCAGGGACTGGGCGGACCCGCACATCAACCTACCGGCCGTACAACATTACTATGAGGTGAGATGATTAAACGGTAGTGGCATGTCAATAAAACATAATAAAAATGTAAACAAATTAATAATTCACTCGACTAGAATACAATCTAAGGACGAACAACGGTAGTACAAATCAAAAGTCGATTGATTGTTGAATATCTATATACATATGTAACACTTTTTATTCAATATATATATATATATATATATATATATATATATATATATATATATAATGTTAATGTAATATATATATATATATATATAATGTTAAATGTACATTGGTAATTCGGATAATTTTAAAAAACACTTGGTGGATAAATGCTATTCCTATTCATCTATTTTCAAGTGAATTACACTTAATTTATATAACGAGGCACTAAATTCATCATGCTTCTTGTCGATCATATCAGGGACCTGTTTCATAAATGTGATAGTGCTGTTACCCTGAACCAAATCTGATATCTGTCAAAGTCATCATGACATGCATTTGAACATATTTTTTTGACTGGACGTTTAATTCCGTTATAATTTGTCTCATATCACATTTATGGAATAGATATGTAAGCGCCAATTCTTCTAAAGCCGAGCATGCAGCAACAATGTGTAACAAAACAAAAAATCAAGTGTCTCTTGCCCAATCATGTTTGCTACAAAAGACTTTGAACAAAAGTCGTTTGCGTGGACACCTCTGTCCCATTCGTGTTTCTATCGTGAAGCAGTTGTGTTTGCATTGCTGTTTCGGTTTGAAGGGTGGGATATGGCAGTGAATTTACATGGTACAGAGGAATTACACCTGAGTCAAGAATGGCAAAAAGGTATCATGGGCGAAACAGTATACTCTGTTGTGTCCATGGTACTGCTCATGTCTATAGGCGACGATTACTATTTTCCATCAGGTGGGCTGTCGGCTTGTTTGCCATTCTAAGTTGCATAAAAAAAAACCCTACTGAACGATCAATTGAGAGATTATTTGATTAATTGATGAGATTTTGTTGTTTTGTCATATTTGTGGCTGCGTGTTTCCTTTACATTCAGTAATTATTTCATATTTTCGTTTTTTTCCGTGCAAGCATTCATTTGGGGACGGCAAAGAGGTTTGTTATTTTACACTATAAGTTTTCTTTCTATACGTTTTTCTTTGCCATTTTATTTTTCATTGGGCTTCGTAATCTTTAAATGTTGATAATAAAATATTGACTTTATGTATGTATTAATAAAGTCTAAATTTCAACAGCAACTGATGTCGTCGCTTGAGAAACGCGAACTACAATTCAGCAACGTCATCGACAGAGGAGAGGCTTTGATCGCCCAACATCATCCAGCTACTAAGACTATTGAAGCTCACCTACAGGTATTGCAAAATGAACTTTGTTGTTTATAAATTAGATTTCAGATTTGCAATTTTTTGCAACCATGTCTTAGAAACTTATAAGAAGTTATATTAATTAAATTAAATGATACTGATATTAAGGTTGCAATGAACAAAGATTAGTAAATATTATTCATTTATGCATAATATTTTGACAAAATGTTAACAATACAATATATCAAATACAGACAAAGATACGAAGAAATCCATGTGATTTTTTTTAATACGGACCCTTAAAAAAGCAATACTTTGTTAAAAAATTAATACGATTATTATTTGTATTATTCAAAGTAGGAAAGAAAAAAAAAATTGAACAAGAATTTTTGAGTCGAAGTCAATGTAGTAAATTATAATTAATGGTTTTTTTACAATGAAATATTTTATATATAATAAAATCGTAAAGTTGTCCGCATGCTACAATGTGTAGGACCATAGTCAATATTTTACTTTAAAAAAATTTTTTTTTCTATGGTCATACTAAATGTTTTAAACCTATTTTACAAATAAACCTTTCTTCACCAGGTGATGCAATCGCAGTGGGCGTGGGTACTCCAACTGACACTCTGCTTGGAGACCCATCTGAAGCACACCACGCAGTACCACAACTTCTTCGAGGAGGTCAAGGAAGCAGAGAAATGGATACAGAAGTAAGTGTAATGGAACGGTTTTATAATACTCGAATAAAAAAAAAAAACTAATGCAATTTGATTTACAGTGTTTTTAAATCGACATTTTTTTATTCTGCGGCCTAATTTTCAAAATTATTACAGTGGAGAAGAATGAGCGAAAAATACGTGTTATCAATCATTTAAAAATTCTATTGAAAAGTTTATAAAAACTTTATTGTTCACAATCCTCGCTCATTATACTAGCTGACCCAATACATGCCCGATCCAAATTCCAAATCTTTTTTCTTTTCTTTTAACAATTTTATATGAACTATTCTATCGAAAAAGCAATGTTTAATTTTTCTCAATTTTTACTTACAGACGCGAAGAAGCCCTCAACAGTACATTCTCCCAATCAGAGTTCACGCTTGACCAAGGCGAACGACTCCTCAAGGGAATGCAAGATCTACGCGAAGAGCTTAACGCTCACGGTACGATGGTAACTCGCCTAGTCGAGGAAGCACAAGAAATTAGACCTGTGAAGCAGAGGAAGGCACCGATCACCAGGCCTCTAAGGGCTGAGACCGTTTGCGCTTATAAACATGCGAACGTGAGTTATTTATCATTAATTCATGTCGCGTCATGCTCGTGAACGATATTTTTAGTATTATATTTTATTGTTGTTTGCATCATACTTGTGAACGATTTTGAAATTCATACATTTAAATTATTATTTTTTATATTATGACTGGCGGATTATTTGATGGATAGTGGTCATCGCAACTCTGAATACAAACAGCGTTCTAGCAGAGACACAATATGACAAAACTCATTTGTTGCCATTTCTGAGGACTCTGAGCGATATATCTCCGTAGTTCATACCCAGTGTCTTATCTGTAAATCAAGTTAGATCATCACTAATTGTGACTGTTCTCATTTTTTTTTTATCGAAAGAAACATAATTATTTTGCCAAATAAAAAAAAAAATTATTTAACAAAACAAATAAATGTATTGTTGTCGATTCAACAGGTGGCCATAGAGAAGGGCTCCTCAGTGACGGTGATAGACAACTCCGGGCGTAGCCGCTGGCACGTGCGCGTGGGCGGCGCCGGCACCGAGCTGCAGCTGCCGGGCGTCGTGGTGGCGCTGCCGCCGCCCTGCCAGGAGGCACGCGAGGCCGCTGCGCGCCTGCGCACTGCGTACGACCGGGTATGCGCGCGTACGCATGCTTACGTATGCGTACTGTTACAACCCTAACATATTAATTGTAATGTTTTATATATTTGTTGTTAAGCGTGTTGAGTCTCCCATCCGGGAAATAGGTATTGACGACCCGCACGCATGCTAAAGGTAAAGGAGTTAAGGGGCCTGAAAATCCGCGCTATATCTCGCTGGAGCTGTACATGTATAGCAACAGCTGAGGCGGCTCCTATTACCAGCAACATTCATTGTTTTTTTTTTCTTTTTATTGTTTTAATGTTTTATTTTCTTAATACTGGTAATAAAGGTTATCTATCTATCTATATAGACATATTATTGCTGAATAGCAATATAATTTATTTTCATATAAATCAGGCAGTTGTAATTTAGCTAGCCAAATTGCTGCCCAGCTACGGACCTGGTTTCTGCTTGGTCTGACCAGTAAAATTAACTTGTTGGATTTACCATCCGGGCTCAATAAAACCCCGAAACAAGGGTATCGCCCGTCACGAGTCAATTGGCCCTTTAAATAAGTTAAAAGTGGAGAGTAAACAAAAAAAGTAATAATATCACACATACACTTAATCCAAATGACGCTTCAGAACACGAAAATTATCGAAATACGTTATGTTCATAAAACTTCGACCAATCTATTATCTATCTCTCTTTAACACAAATGTTATTATATTTTTTTTCTCCTTCTCATTACCAATGCTTATAATTTTTATCTAAGCTAATATTTTATTGTCAGTCAACTATCAATTTACGGAATATTGATACTGTTTTATTCTAATAATTTATATTACAGACAAATACACGAAAGTTCCACTCTGGAATAATTATTATTTTTAACCTACTTCAAAAAGAAGGGGATTCTTAACCCTTAAAAGCCTGATTTTTATAATCAAATTAAAAAATATATAAGTGTACCCTTTGCTGGGTTTAATAATGGGGATAAAAAGAAAAACAAAAATCAAAACGATATTTTTATATATTTATTTTGAAAAAAAAAAACGTTTGGTAACATGTAAACAGCCAAATATTAAAATAAAATCAATTGTAGACGCCCAATGTGATTTATAACCCCGGTATCAAATTTGAAACTTTAGGTATTTAAGGGTTAAATCCGTTGTATTTTTATGCTTGTAACTTCGTAATTTATTTAATAAAAAAAGATTTGGAAAAATATTTCTTTATCTAAAAGGTCAAAGTCGGTTCAGTTGTTCAGTTTTTAAAACAAAATAACTGATTTTACCACATTACAATTCGGTTTATTTTGTGAGATACAATGTTTAATTATATCTATTATTCTAATAAAAAATTCTCTCTGGCAACACTGTCTTAAATATTCTGTATTGTATGACCCAATTAATTTTATTATAGGTATTGATATCACAAATCATTACATACGATAACTTTTTATGTACATACTAAATCATTGTTTACTGACCCCGCGTTACTGTTTACATAATAACGTGTCAACGTTATTATTTTCATTGTAAACTATGCATTTGGTGGTGCCAGTGTATTCTTTGTTCCATATAATATATGTATGTTTATTTTTTTGGTTGTTCAAGGTGATACAATTATGGCAACGCAAGCAGTTGAGAATGAGACAGAACATGATCTTCGCCACCATAAAGGTGGTGAAAGGATGGGATTTCCCGCAGGTTAGTTATACATATTTTTTTTTCTGTGTAACCTAGATAACAAAATAATTCGTACATATACGTATATTTTTTACAAGTCTTTTTTTTTTTTTTTGCAAAATTAATTTAATAAGTTCTTGGTACTCAAGTATATATTTAATTTTTATTTATTTTTTTTTATAAAAAAGTGATGTATTGTATGATTATAAGTTAACAACACTTATAACGCTTCTAACATCATTTTTTTTTTATAAATAATTGAAATTTAACAATACTATAATACAAAAATATAACAAACTCACTTTTATATTTCTAATATTAGGAAAGTCATTTCCGATTAAGGGAAGTCGCTTAAAATAGTGTTTATTTTTTTTATTATTTTTATTGAATATCCTTTACCCAGCTTGGTACTGAATTACTATCTGGTACCCGGGCTATCCGGCCGGCACACGTTTCAATACTAATTGATTACCAACAGTTCGTGGCGATGGGCGCGGAACAGCGTCAAGCCATCCGCCGGGCGCTGAACGAGGACGCCGAGAAGCTGCTCGCGGAGGGCGACCCGGCTGACCCGCAGCTGCGGCGCCTGCGCAGAGAGATCGACGACGTCAATCGCCTATTCGACGAATTCGAACGCCGCGCTAGAGCTGAAGGTGAGATACGCTTAAATGTTTCCATTCTAATACTACCGGAATGATAAAGATAGGTTACCCGACTACGACGAAGCAAAAAGGAGGGTTATGATTTTGACCGATTCCATTTTCATTTTTGAATTGAATATGCTTGGTAGCTGTGGAATGCACTGCCTTAAGGTATCCGAGGGCTTTCAAATAAATTTATGTTAATAAAAAACTCCATGCTCATTATATGATCTCATTACAAGAGTAGTAGCTTTTCATTCTTTTTTTTATATTTTATATATTTATCAAGTATATACATATATTATATAGATATATATAATTTTTAATGGACGATAATGGAATGGTAACCCCGCTTGTGCTATCGGTATACACTGGCGGGACACCAGTGGGAGATGATAGGTGAGAATGAAAAGGCAGTTCAGTTGGCCCATCGTGACGAATTCAACGATAAATTAGTAACGATAGTTTCCAGGGGGAACCGCATGGAGGTCGACCTGATAGGGTGTATTGATAGCAATGGAGACTATCCTGCCCATTACTAAACAATCCCTTCCCCCCACCTATGTAGATTATTAGTATATATATTATTATTTTTATACTTATCTATGTATATTATATAATCAACAGTTTGTTGTATATGTATGTATACATTATTTGTACATAGGTATACATTATGAACTGTTATTATCTTTACCTATCCTAATAATGAAGTAACGCGTACGTGATTCACTGTCCTTCCAAAAGGCGACTGTTAGAGAGTGCTACTAGCATTAAGTCCGACTTTTGTACCATATTTTCTATTGGTCAATAAAGTTATTTAAAAAAATAAATAAATAAAAAAATGCAATTTGAACAACAAATAAGTATTTTTTATGCAACTTAGAATGGTAAACGAGCTGACGGCCCACCTGATGGAAAGTGGTAACTGTCGCCTATAGACATGAGCAGTACCATGGACATAACAGAGTATACTGTTTCGCCCGTGATACTCCCCATGCGTTGCCATTCCTGAGGACCCAGGTGTTATTTCTCTGTACCATGTAAATTAACTGCCATATCCATACCCTTCAAACCGAAACAGCCATGCAAACACAACTGCTTCACGGTTGAAACACGAATGGGACAGTCCAAGCAAACGACTTTTGTACAAAGTCTCCCTCTGGTGACAAACAAATAGGTTTTTCACATACGATACTGTATGATTACGCGAATACTGCGGTACTGATTTACGCGAATGTAGCTGCGGGTCATGCCTAGTTTATAATAGAAGTAAAGATGATCTTCCATATAAACTACTTAATAACTTCCTGATGCCATTAAGAGACTATCGACTAAACTGTCTTTCAAAAAAAAGTTCACGCTCACTTTTTTACTTTATCCGAGCAGTAAGTGCTTTATATTATTCTCAGTTTCGTGTATAATATAGTATATGTCATATATTTGTTATTCATATATATTTATTCGTTTATATATATAATTTTAGTATGTAGGTATATCAATAGTTAGTAGTACTGCATTCGAGTATTCTTACACTTCCCTATGGTTGACTGGGAGAGAATGCATTTAGCGTTAAGTCCGCCATGTACACATATTTGTACTAATGAATAAAAAGAAAATATAATATACGCCTTTGCTAGCTGACTTTGATATTACAGAATACATTTCGATTGGACTAATTGAATGATTGCACCGCTGACATCATCAATATAGGTCACATATGGTGACAAAGAAAATAAACGCACTCACTTCATACAAAGTGACCTCTCCGTCTAAATGACCGCAAGTAATCGGTACTTGTGTATGAAAGCTATTGTGGTTTTGTACAGTTTATTATATCAACCGTTTACTAGCCACTGCTGAATATAGGCATAATGGGTGATTTGACTGTACTTACCACGCTTGGCAGGCATATTGGCAACCACGTTTAGGATTTGACGTTTTAAGAGGGACGTTGCTACCAATCCCTCGACCATTAAGTTCCCTTAGTCGCTTCCTACAACAAATTATTTTCTATAGGTTTCTATAGGTGTAACAATTATTAAAATCGGTTGAGTAGTCTTTGATAAACATATATACAGTGAGTGTAGAAAGTATTCGTACACCTAGGGTTGTAATAAAAAAAATACGAATTTGATAGACTTTCTTTTATTTATCTAATTTAAATCAATACTATTAAATATTTTAACATTCCCGCACTTAGTTTATGATAATTTTTGTTTTTTAATAAAAAAAATTATACAACATAAAAATATTTTTACGTTAACTAAGCAAATAATGACAAACAAAAAGTATTCGTACACTTATAAAATTTGTAAGTAAATGAATATTAAAAAAATATTAATACGTTGTTGGACCACCGTTAGCATTGATGATAGCTTGGAGTCTCTGCGGCATCGAATCAACTAGTTTGAAAATATAAGAAGACGGTATCAATGCCCATTCTTCGCGAAGCGCAATTTTTAGTGTTTCTTTACTCGAAATTGGTCGATTTCGAATTTTATTATCGAGATAATCCCACACATGCTCTATAATATTAATATCAGGTTATTGAGGAGGAATCTCTAGGTATTTTGGAGCGTTAAACAGGATCCATGCTTTAATATTCCATGCTTTATGTTTAGGGTCATTATCTTGTAAAAATATCCAATTATTGTTAAAACCCATTTGAGCTGCACTAAAGAGAAGATTCTCTTTTAAAATATTAATATACGTTTTGTGATCCCTAATTCCATCAATAAATGCAAGTTTTCCCACCCCAAAAGCACTCATGCAACCCCATACAAATACTGACCCACCACCGTGCTTTACCGTTGAACATAAATTTTCTTTCTTATATTCCATATTAGGTTTTCTCCATACCATATGATGTCCATCCGATTTGAAAATATTATATTTCGATTCATCTGAGTAAATAACAGTTTGCCAAAAATGATTTTTTTCATTAATATATTTTTTTGCGAATTCTAATCTTTTTTTTTTTCTATTAATATCATTTACCCAATACTTTTTACGCGCAGTTCTTCCATGATAATCGTTACTACGTAATACGTTCCGAACGGTACTGACAGAAATATGGCAATCATTGATATTATTAATTTCTTGTAACACTCGAGCGGCACTAATTTTTGGATTTTTTTTTACACAATTTAAAATTTTCCGATCCAATCGAGGCGTGATTTTTGATGGACGCCCCACCTCTGGGTTTGTTTTTTAGTGTTTTAGTAATAGAAAACCGATCAATTACAGTCTGTACGGTTGAACGTGGTCTATTGACAAATTTTGCAATTTCACAAAATGATTTGCATTGATTATGCGAATTAATAATTATTTTTCTCTCCTCTTCACTCGTTTCTTTTGTTTTATGACCCATTTTTGTAACTAAACACGTCTATACTTGTCACGAGTGCAACTAAAACGTCTAATATCTATACCTACGTATTAAAAATGACCTTGGCATTGTAGGCATATGAAAAATTCGATTGAATAAATGATTTATACAGAATTTCATTTAAAAAAGAATGAATGTACGAATACTTTTTGTTTGTCATTATTTGCTTAGTTAACGTAAAAATATTTTTAAGTTGTATAATTTTTTTTTTAAAAACAAAAATTATCATAAACAAAGTGCGGGAATGTTAAACTATTTAACAGTATTGATTTAAATTAAATAAATAGAGGAAAATCTATCAAATTCGTATTTTTTTTATTATAACCCTAGGTGTACGAATACTTTTTACACTCACTGTATATATATATATATATATATATATATATATATATATATATATATATATATATATATTCTTTATTGCACTTAATAATTACACTTACATACGACGATTAGTGTAACAACTTGTTAACAAGGGAGGACTTATCTCTGAAAGAGATCTCTTCCAGCCAACCCAGTGTAGTTAGAGAGAAAATAATTTAATTTGGGTAATCCAGTGCAAGAAAGGTATCGGTGAAATTAATGTAAATACAACAAACACAAATTGTGAATCAATATATAAATAAATAAATACGTAAAAAAGTAAATAGATAAATATATATACATAAGAAAGAGACAAAACAGTTCAATAGCTAAAATAGGTTTATGAGAGGTTTGCTATTCTTATGAATAAAGGAGTAAATGTAAGTAATGTAAGTTACAGTATAACGCAAAGGAAAATGTTGCTACTTTAAAACATAAGGCAAGAGATATAAGACTAAATATTTTGGATATTTTGTGGATCGACCGTTTTAAAATGAAAAAGATATAACTTAAAGAGGGCTTCGAAAGTAATTTTAAAATGTAATTATATAAAAATTGTTTACATAATAACATTTGCCATTTAGAATTTATCACAAACACTTCCATTTTAATATTAAGAACTTATGTCACTTAAATATATGACGCATGTAGTTAAAAATACTCATATTCGTACCTGCCTTGATCAAGCACTTGTCTCACCGATAAATAGTTATTTATTCAGCTAATTCCTACAAACTGATCATTATTTTACAATAATTTTTTTTTATTCAACTTAGAATGGCAAACTAGCTGACGGCCCACCTGATGGAAAATGGTAACCGTCGCCTATAGACATGAGCAGTACCATAGACATAACAGAGTATACTGTTTCGCCCATGATACCCCCCATGCGTTGCCATTCCTGAGGACTCAGGTGTTATTCCTCTGTACCCAGTAAATTCACGCTAATATGTAATAGCTAATTTGTAAGGGCTAAAAAATAGTATATATTTTTAAACGAATCCTTGTCATGTTTACGTATAGGAGTATTCTAAAACTATCTTTAATTATCTGTATTTATATATTTAATTTCATATAAATAAATATATATTAATAAATAAATATAATTATATATTAAAAATTAGAATAATATATATTTTCTGTTTAGAGGATATACGTAAAACTTACGAAGTTAGTATTTTTTTTTAATTTGCATTCTCTCTGTCTCTTAATGGCATTTGGTAAAACCCCCTCTCCATGAACTCATTCTTTTCTTGTGCCA